TAAGGCGTGGAACTCTGAATATTATAAGCTAGACTATCTCACTACATCGCGAGTTCGAATCTCGATCCTGGCACTTCAATTTTTTGCTTTTTTCTTGCCAACAAGGCAAGAAGTACATTTCAATACATTAGGCAAGAAATACATTTCTTGAGTAAGATCGTAAAAAGGTTGTTTCTTGCACAAGAAATGACAAGATCTTGGGACATTCTTGCCCCAAGATCTTGCTATTTCTTGGGCCCAAGAACTTTCGCTAGGGTTGAAAAAAACAAATAAAAATACACTATGATTTGTATTCACATTAAAGCCAATTTAGAAAAAATTAAAACAGCCAAATAATCCATCACCTCTAATAAATTATTTATTTAACAGTTGATACCCTTGCAGATTGCCTTGTTTTTTTTGTCACAGCAGGTAATTTTTGATTTTTATCAGCTTCAGTATATTGATGTTTTCTATTTGACGGTAAACTATTAGTATCCTTTATTTTTAATGGTAATTCACCTGTTTTTTTACTTTGTGGTTTACTATGTTCATAAAATGAATCTATTGCTAAAAACCAAATAGCCAAGTAGAATCACGGTATTGATAGAAAATATTTATACACCTCACTTTACCTGTATCACTTAAGTTTGTTGGTAATAATGCTGCTTTAATTACTCTTGATTCATCGTAAACAACATAAGGACGATATTAGTTGACTCAAATATTCTTTGCGCTTCTTTGCTATATCCAAAACTTGTTGTTAATTGTGGTTTATTTTTTTTTTACATTCTTCTAAATGTTCATTCATATTAATCCCATAATCAGCAAATTTTTTATCAAATATATTTCGTTCAATTAATGATGAACTCTGAAATACTTTAATATATCCAATGGATTTGCTGATTTTATTTTTTGTACTGGAATAAGTAGCGACAAATAATCCTTCTTGAATTAAACCGTCTACAATTAATTTATCTATAGCTGCTAAACAGTATGTATTTCCAGCATGAGTTGTTACACTTATTATATCTTTTTTTGTATACAGATGTGTACTAATATTTAGTTTTAGAATTTAACATACCATCACTATTAGCAGTAGCACCACTCAAAATTAATTCATTAATTTTTATATTAATTTGTTCAATAAAATCATTTGTTTTTTGTCATCTTTAACAAATACATCATTGAACTGAATCATTACAGATAATTCATTTAATACAGTCATCGTATTAACGTATATTTGAAAAAGTACACAAAAACGTGGATATATTTCTTGTGACTTCGAATAAAAACCTTCTAAATAACGTTCAATTTTCAAATTTTTATCAAATAATTGATTATAATGTGCTGCTGTTCGATTATAAACATAATAATAAGCGCTATCAGCATCTAATATATTTGTACCTAACGTGTTTGTAGATACTGCTCCTTCTGTGGTTGTCGTTGTTGTTCTTGTCATTCCGGAATCTATAGTAATATATAATTAAAAAACATAATATTTATATAAAAACTATTGAAAATTATTAATAAGACAACGCTCAACTACGACAACTTACCATGTGTTCTAAATCGATATTTGATATTTTTCATTAAATGAACAACCATTAAAATATATTTAATCGACGGTATACCGTCATTTGATGATACTTTAAATGATTCCATTGGTTCTTTTGCTTTTTCACGTTGAATGGCTAAATAAACCATACGATTACATAATCCATCTAGTCGCTGGCCATTCTTGAATTGTTTTAATACAGCTGAATATGTTGAACCCGTTGTGCCACCTAATATAGATAATCTTGAATTATTTAGTGAGATTAACGATGATGACTGTTCATAATTTCGTTCATAATTTTGAATTTGATCAAATGCTTTACAAAGAACTGGAATGTCTTCTGTTGTTGTATTACCGAACATACCAGATTTATTGAAAACCCCATCTATCTCATCATTATAAATAAATGTATCCGATTCTTGTAATAATAACTGCAACCCATATCCATTTGGAATCGATGTAATTGAACATAGTTGCTGCATATCTTTTCCAAGTTTACATCAGCAAAATATGATTTGGGAAATAAATGGATAACATCAAATGCAGCGTTCATAACGTGATTCATATTTGGAGTTTTTCCAGATCCTAGACATATAAACAATAAACATACTACAGAAATATAAAAATAGAACGTAAAGTAAACTCACCAGATGGTCCCATAACAACACTAAACAAATTTAGCGCTTTTAAACTATTATATCTTGTTAAGTAAACAGATTTTTGAGCAAAATGCGCTATTGTTGGCAGTAACGAAAAAAACATGATATTTTCATTGGCCCCGAATCTTTATATCTTGCTAATGCTTTCAATTGATCAGTGGAAAATAAAAACGCTAAATCAATATTGTGAACAGATGCTTTATCAGTATTACTATAAATACGATCATTCAATTCATCTTGTGCCATATTTTTTATTTGTTCCTTTCTTGTTTTTCTTAAAATGTAAAAATCTGAAAGGTAAAATAAATAACGGAAATAAAACCATAAAAGAACAACAAACAATTGTTCATCCTGTCTACAAATTAACCCCATTTAAGAATTGACTCTTCAGAATGGAACGTTACATCGTTTCCTTCAAAATAAACTAAAGACACTGAATTAAAGAACTTCTTCATTGCATAAATAACAAATATAGGATAATATTACAATCCCTTCTAGCATTTCAATGAGAATTTAAAGCAAAATGTACCGGCAGACACTGTTTTATAGGTAATGTATGCTGGTAAATGCTGCTTCTTTTTCGGGCGAAGCGTACCTTCTTAGAATTTTATGACAGCGAAAAGAAGTTTGCACTTTGCACAATTTTTCTCTCACAACCTAAAAAGCAGTGAAGTGTCTTTTTTTGCATTAACACTCTGAAACAGGGAGAAAGTTTTGTTATATATGATAATACATTTAATTTAATATTAGACGATAAGACCCTATAAATTTTAAATTTTATTCTAATTGGGGTAATTTTATTGATTTAATAATTATTATTTTATAATTTTAGGGTTAACAAGATAATAAAATTATTAAGATCATATTAGTAATTTTGTTTATCTTGATGTTGGATCATTAATGATAATTAAGCAGATTTTCTTGTTGTTAATCTGTTTTCGCACATATGAATGAACGCGAAACTTATTTTTGCACATACTCCTGACTATAGATAGTATTCCACCTCGACTACTTATGTTGCAAATATGACCTCTTGATATAATAGGAATCTAGCAATTAAGAAAATATCTCTTTTCACATAAGATATCCCATGTGCACATATTCTTTCGTCTGAGCGCGCCGATAGAAAAAAGAGAACAGAAACACACGCATGTGCGAAAAAAGATATCCCCTTATTTGCTAGTTCTCAAACGTGAAAACAAACACGAACTCTCCAGCTTGAAGTATGTTAAAAAATCTTCGGAAACACTTCAGGGTCCTTTTTGGACCTTGATCTCTGGAAAACTCCTGAACGGCAGGACTTGGAGACAAAAAAAGATCTTTTAATTCCCGTAACTCATTAAGCCAAACATTTATGCAAAGTTTCGTCAAGATCGGATGTACGGTGTCGGAGATAATTTGTGAAGGGGGAGTCCCTTAACTAATATTAAAATTGTCCTCACTAAGAAAAACAACGATAATACGTGGTCAACTGTATTTTGTAAAATCATTTGCAAAATCCGCTTTTTATAGTATGATTAAAACAACTTTTTTATTTCTATTTTTTGTGTGTATATGTATGAAGTTAAGAACTCAGGAACTCAAAAATTCATGTGCTCATATATATGTAAGTGTGGATATAATACTCAGAATTAAATGTGCTCATTTATATATATGTGTGCATATATTTCAAGTCAGGAATCGAAGAACTCAGAAATTTATTTAGTCGTATATGTGTGCATATATTTGAAGTTAGGAACTAAGGACCTCAGAAATTCGTGTGCTGATATATATGTATGTGTGCATATATATGAACTCAGAAACTCAAAAATTCATGTGCTCTGCAGAAAGAAAAAGCGAACTAAACTTTTTCTGTAGTTCAGAGATGGATGTCGCGAGAAATTAGTTAACTTTGATAACACAAAAAAAGTCGTCTACGTATAATAAAACTTACAGAATCTAGGTAATGTATCCTAAAGCCAGATGGGCTAGAAATTTGTTGTGTTCATCGACTCGGCCTGAACTTAAACTTTCATGAACTTAGTCGTCTTTAGAAAAAAGCTCGATTAAAAATTCTGCTTCTCTTTCTTCTTTTCCGAACATCCTGCAGAGATGATCCCTAAACACCATTTTCTTTTTAAATCTCTGAATTGTAAATGTGAACTAATAAATTTCTTTCTCCTTTGTAAACCCCCCGTATTTTGCCGAAAATTGAATTCAAATGCAACTTTCATCCTTGAAATTTTAACAACATTATGGGAACAACGACAAAGTGCTGTTAAAGCTGAATGTGCAAGGGTAAATCCAGCATTTCTGAAACTAACCACCGGGTGTTCCAGAGGAGATGAATCTCTGTTTATTTCGATAATAAGTTTTTTTCCTTTGAAGATACAAAGTGATTTCTTCTTTTTAAAGGTTTGCCGTTTTATTCTCTACAAAAACAATTTTACATACACTGTAATCTTGAATTAATTTTCACTTTATAGAAAATCGCCCGAAAAATCGCCGGGAATTTTCTAGTTTATAGATATTCCTCGACCAATTTCTAGCTTTCTAGGAAATGTTGATTTTCCATAAATTCGATTTTCTATAAAGGTGGAGAATCGCTGATGATTTCCTTTAAATTGGAAAATTGCCGGCGATTTTCTAGTTTATAGAAAATCAGTCGAGTTTCTATGAATAATTTCCAAGTATTCGAGTTTGATTTTCTCTAAACCAGAAAATCCGCGGTGATTTTCTAGAAAGTGGAAATTCACCCAGGAATTTCTAGACCAAATACTTATTTATATTTTTGTTTTGCAAGCAGTGTAGTTATAAGAGCGTCACGTAAAGACACTCATATTACACTTAAATCAACTTTGACAGTTTCAACTTTAGCTCACAATGCTACCTATGCCAGCAAGAATTTTAATTTAGGCAAGATTTAGGATTTTCTAGAATGGTGGAAATTGGATTTTCTATAAACTGGAAAATTCTCGGGGAATTCCCATATGTACTCTTTGAAAATCGCCGAACATTTTCCATAAATAATTTCCAACCTTACAGTGTACGCTAAAAATAAGGAATATAGATGAAATACTGTGAAATTTCAGTGTTTACTAGTTTCGAAATCAAGGTGCAACGAAAAAAAATTATTCTGAACACGTTGCCATACATAAAAGTGGAATCGAAATATATACTCTTGTGCTTCGAAGTGTCTTTCTTTTCGTGTGTCATGTATTCGCTTTAAATGTTTTTTCTCTGACACGAAAGCGATTTTATTAAAATTGATCAAAAAAGAGAAAATTTTACTTCTTCGCGCTACTACAGAAAAAGAAATGAAACTATTAGACTTTCTCTTTTAGGGAGTACTAGAGGAATTATTTTGATTTAGAATAAAATAAATCCAACTTCAACTCCAAACTATTGGATTTTAGCTGAGTTATAATTCTATATGCCTCAAACATGCAGGTTGAAAATGATCATTTTTAGTGAAATCGATGAAAAGAAAAGGCATTCTTCCTCGATCACTTATGATTATGGGAATTTTAAGTATGGTCAGTTGATAGAGCTTTTCAACAGCTACAAAATCGCCATCTTCTCGTTTTAAGTTTCATAGAATATAAAGGACTGAAACTTAAACAGCCGTCTTTTGGGTTGGAAAGTAATAAAGATTGAAATTTCACAGTATTTCATCTATATTCCTTAGTTTTAGCGTATGTAAAAAATTGTTTAATATATTTTTTGTAGGCAATAAGACGGCAAACGTTTAAAAGAAGAAATAACTTTGTATCTTCAAAGAAAAAAAAGTTATAGTCGAAATACTCAGAGGTTTCAGGGGTTCATTTCCTCTGAAACATCCGATAGTTTCGAAAAATATGCTCGTAAAACCCAAGTTTTCCGGAAAAAAATAATAAAAATACCACTTTCGTACAGTACGAACAAAACGATTTAGTAAAATACGAACGAAAAAAAGAAATAATCCTATTTAGTATTTGAAAATACCAGATATGATTTTTATTCTGGAAAAAAACCTTTTTGGTACTATAAAATACCATTCATAAAACGGTTGATAACCTACAAATCCAAACCTTTTTCAGTTTCCAAAAGGCCGTATCCTAAGAAACCATGTTGGTATCTCAAGATGCCATTTGATATTTCAGAGCGAATCAAATATATTCTGGTATTTTACCATTAACACAAAACTAATTGGGTTCTGTAGGATATCTCTTACGGGTACTTTATTAAATCCTTTTGGTATCCTATAGTACGTCTTGACTAGTGTTAAGACTATACGTCAGGACGTATGGAGAAATTTCTGTGCTAGTCTACCGACAAGTAATACATCATGCTCGACTTTTGGATACCCCGTCCTGTCCACTCCTCTGGTTCAGCATCCGTTCATACGTCAAGACTTGTAGTCCTGACACTTTGAAAAAACAATTACAAATGCGGACTAGCCTGGACAAGTTACTCGGACACTTCGGACTAGTCCGGACGCCGGGCAACCAGTTTTTTTTGCTCACTTGGGTTATTAAATGCATGATCAACATATATCATTAAACTGAACTTCTTGTATTTACCTTTAGCCAAACACATTAGAACATTTCCATTATGTGTAAATATACGTCTTTTATCCAATTTTATAAAATATATTTTTTTTATATAAATAAATTTTATTTAAATATATTTTTATTAACTTTTTAAGTTTGTTTTAAGATTAAAAAATACAAAATAAAAGTATCTACCTGCTACTCAAATATCCACCTATTTCGTATCAGCCAATTGTAACTCTCAATATATCCAATTTTAGTTTTGCATAAAGATAAATCTGATTGCTATGCTGTGCCAAATGTTCATTTATAAAAATATTTTTCAATTCATCAATTTCATGAAATTTCTTCCTTGATGAATAAAACACATTTCTATCCGTAATTCTTAGGAAGCCAACTATTATTGCCTGACGTGTTTTATTTTGAAATTTTTTTGAAGGAGGCAGTCTGTGAATTCCATAGAAATCATTCTTTGTCACTTGTAAACCAACTTTTGACATTAAATCAATGAAGAGAGCAGTAACATTTTCATCACTTTGAAATGGAACACCATAAATTAACAAGTCTTTTCTTTTAGTATACTACTTTAGTACGCTTCGTATTGTTAAGTATTTCCGAAAGGAAAAGTTAAGTGTCAGGTGAGTCAGTAGCTTACGACAGATCTTTTTAATACGTTGTGAAAATATAAATGTTTCTTGGCCATAATATGGTAATACAAAAAATACTGATTATACCACCTCTAATACCACGTTTTATAATATGTGGTGGATAGCCGTTTGATGTTAATGTTGTTTTTAATCGATAGATTCCAGTTTTCATATTTTCTGGTGTCGAACAGATTCTCATAATTCTAATTACCAATGTTTTTATCAGCCCAAGTTTATACCTGCGAGATTGATTTGACTCATATAGCATGTATAAGTCCGTGTTAGTAGGCTTATGGTAAATGGTTGTTGTGTATTTATCATTGTCCCGAATTACCAATACATCCAAGAAGGGTAAACCTTGATTCGATTCAAATTCAACGGTAAATTTAATGTTTGAGTGCCAATTATTAATGCGTGATAAAAATTTTTGAATTTTTGGTTGACTAACGGTGAAGATGCAAAACACATCATCTACACAGCGCAACCACATGATAGGCTTATTTGTAGAGAATCTATTAATCTTGAGTTCCATCTTGGACATAAACAGATCTGCTAAGATCGGGGCCAACGGACTACCCATGGCCACCCCATCCACTTGTACATATCGATCGTTCATAAACATGAATGGTACATTACATACACAAAGCTGGAGTAATTTTTTCATTTGTTCTCGATTTAATATTATATCAGCCTTGGCATTGTTTTTAGTTCGTTTGTACAACATGTCTAACGCTATTTCAATTGCCTCGTTCGTCGAAACATTTGTGTAGAGACATTCTACATCAAATGAGCATAATATATGATTTTTATCGGGTTTCACCTGAACAATAGATTTTACGAATTCGAACGAGTCTTTAACACATGAGAACGATGAAATTCTATCTTTACATAATAACTGTGCTGAATATTTAGATAGTTCATAGTTGTATGTGCCGATGGAAGATATTATCGGTCGTACGGAGTAACCCGCTTTATGGATCTTTAGTTGGCCATGCATAACCGAGTAAGAAGCACACGTAGATCGTAATCGGTAACATAATTTTATATCAAATACGTTTTCTCGATAGAGCTGTCGTAGACATTTATTAACCTCTTTTTCTTTCATTGGTAATAGGTTTCTCTTTGTTAATTGAAACTGTTTACATGAGAGAAGTTGCCTGATTTTATTGATATAATCAGATTTGTTTAATACAACTATCGCATTACCTTTATCAGCTCGACAGATGACTATACTTTTGTCATTTCGTAAGTTCCTTAGAGCTTGGTGTTCTTCGTCGCTGATGTTTCTCACAAAATTTTTCCGACTCGATCTCATTAGTGCCTGTGAGGCATCATGTAAATGTCTACAGACCGTTCGGAACACCGATGAGTGACATTCTTGTTCGATTTTCAGTGAGTTCAATTCAATATCTGTCTTGAATTTTGTAAAATCCGTAATTTTATTTTCTATGCAGAACTCCCATCCCCTACATAATAGTCGATCTTCAGATGGTGTTAACGTGTACGATGGTAAGTTGTGAACGATTTTTGACGATAGATCCTTATACTTTTGTCCAATCGGTCCGTTATTTAATTTTTGAAGTTTACTGTGATGAATTTTTAAAAGACGATCATGTTCAAACGTAGAAATATCATAATAAAACTTTTTTAATATTATAACGGGCGAATCCATCTGAAATGTCTCACATTTTACAAAAGTTTTTTCCCTTTATTTAAAACCCATCTAGTTTTATATAGCTGATCAAGTTACGTAAAAACTGTCTTTTCTCACTTCATAGATGATGCAACACCCAAGAAAAATGACTTTTACTCTCCCAGCAAAATTATCGGATTCGGCGCCGCTTTCAATGCAAACTCATGAGTACCGCGATGAGTTTTACAACATGTTCTCCCATCAGCAAAGCCCTTAGGATTTTTTATTAAAGAGTGAGACATGAACTATATTCTCTATAACTTTGAAGGATGTTCCATGTAAAGTTCACGAATATTGAACTAAAAATGAAGTATGTTTGAGTTTTATCTCAGTATTTTAACTTGAGGTTTAATAAAAACAACTTCCTATAGGTTTTCTTGCATTCTCAGTTAGATTATGATTATAAAAAGCTGCTTTTCCAAACTTGTATATGCTAGCTGAGGCCGCCGTTACTAGGGCGCCATCATTATGTTTCAATATCATCAAAAGGAAAATTTCGAACTACACAAAAATAAAGGTTCACGGTAGAACAGACAAGTTCCTCTGTTGTAGACTACGACAGATAACAGAAGCCAGAAAAAGCAACTTTTCCTTAAACTCCATAAAAAACTGTTCAACCAGATTCCTTCAAACTTGGATATCTAAACAAAAATAATGTTTGTTCTCAATAAATCAACGATCAAGTTTTTATTCAATGTCAGTTCGTATAATTAAAATAAGAGATCCTTCATCTAATACAAAAGTTGCTGAAACAAGAATTTAAAGTATTCAAATGTTTACATATAAAAGACTGACTTTTCCTCTAAAAGCTTTCTAAATTGATTTCGTGACTTGGCCAAGCACTAAAATAGAAGTCGTCGACATCCATTTAGCAACAATTTTCTTAAAAATGCCCAGTAAACCTTAAGCATGAACGAGTTGTCTGTTTTTCAATATCTTACAAGCAGCTGTCGGTATGAAGATGGTCAATATACTGTCAGTTTACTGATCCTTGTGTGAGGTGTGTGTCTCCAGGTCACTTGTGTTTTATTCTGCGACTGACTCGTACAGAAATACTGTACCCCTTGTCTGGGTTACGCGACACCTCGCTGATTAAATATTTGAAAATTTATTTTCATCATGAAGGTGATCCGAACACATCATCAGAAGCAGTTTTTCATCCGTGAGAAACTGTTCTTAGTTAATTCAAGCGTAGCAAAAAGAAACACCTTAGACCGTAAGTCTATGTTGGCACGCTGTGTTCTCTGTGCAATGTTTTCAAGCTTTTACCATTCGTGAAAAGTGAGTAGAGCCTGTGGACTTTTTACCTGATATACTCTTTTTTAGTTACTGATTACGAATATCAACTTCAAATCGAAAACAATATCAATTTTGAAGGTAAAAATTTTAATTTATACTTTTCAAAAACTTTATCTTCGTTTTTCTAACCTAGGCCTTGTCTCTAAAAAATTTCAAAGACATGCTGTTCGATAGACATTTTGATTCTCTACGAAATGACCCATTTTGTTTTGAGAGGAGCTTTTTCCTCTAATGGATGCATCAGAAGAAGTGATCCTCTGAATATTTTGCATTTATTTTGTGTTCATGTCATTCTCTACAGTAATTTTCTCCCAAAGGAGTCGCTACTCAACTCTCTATGAAACCGTGTGAAAAAATTTTGTTTAACATTTCTTTTAGACAAATCTTTTAAGAAACCAAAAGTAATGGCGCGCAGAAAGTTATACTATCTAAACGAAAAAATGAGTGTGCGCGATGCAATACGCTGGCCTTTTTTTTGCACATTTGCTCATTTTTCAAATCTTCAGGTAGTTTTGTTAGTTTGTCTTCTGCTGTTGTTGTTGTTGTTAATGAATCAAAAACTAACAGATAACCTATTCAAAAAGAAAGGCTTGTGGGAATAAGTCCTTTTCAGATTTCTCATACTTCCCCACGATCTACTTGTGGGCAAAATATCAGCTCGAAAGGGGTCTGGCACTTGGAAAGGTTCCCTCGTAAATAGTTATTGTATTGCGAAACGATATTTCCGTTTGTCTTATAAATGCAAAAACCTGCTTTTTATGAACGATAATCAGCGATATGCACAGCATATATCGCAAAAACAAAAGGGATCCGTTGCTAAAAACAGATCAGTATCGTGAACACCTCGCGTGATTCGAATGGGATAATGTGAGCAGAATATGTGGTCTGCGTTGGAGAACTTTGCTCAAGCAAAACTCCTCGCAAGGACGAAACAAGGGCTTGGCCCATCGTCTTTTTATTTGTGTAAAAAAGCAGTTTATGCACAAGTAATATTTGGATCATAATGCATCAGTTTATTTCCCTCAATATCGGATAAAATAATAACATAATTATCTGGAATGAGCATATCGAATAGAGTTTGAGTTTCTGTTGTTGTCCAGTTTCCCATGTTCTGACCACTCGAATCAAAGATTATCACACCGATGTCTTTCAATGAAAACCATCGTCGATCGCAATTACCAACAATAACATGGGCATAAATTTAATAAATTCTATCGTTCACACAAGTTGTTTGAACAATAATAGATGCATCACTGTATTGCTTCCGAATGACTGTGACATAGCTTCCTTTCCGAATATTTTATGTTTTTAGCAAAAAGATTCATCATAATTATTTTGTTTTTCTTTCAGTATATAAAGGTTGTATTAATTATCAGACTTCAAACAGAATATAGGAAAAAGTCTTTGAATTCAGAAAGGAACATGTATTATTGTTCAAACAAATTGTTGGAACCGTAAAATATATTAAATTCAATAACCGTATGTATGGGTACGAGTTTGAAATGAAAAAATTGCTTCAAAATTTATCTATTTAATAAGAACGTTGCTGTGCGCATTCATCCCTATGAATTTAATGTTTTTTGGATGGTGTTCAAATACACAGATACCGTTTATAAGTGATGTTGTATTCATACCGAAATCGAATTCTTCAACATTAACGGTCTACAATCAAACATGTCGCCAATATCTATGTTCCTATTCGGCTTCAAAAAATTATTTGGTCATGCAGTGTTATTTTTTTAACAGTACGTGTCAACTGTTTTTGACTTATCCTGTAACAGTTTATCCTAACCCATTCGCCACGATGAGATCCACCGGTAAATAAAGCTTACATCAAACCCAACAATGAATCGTGGCGAATATATTAACACATATACGAAATACAACCGTTACTAAATTCAAAATGTCTATTTTTTAGAATCGATATTTCCGAATGTTAGTCAACAACGACAGTGTTATATGCCTAATACAACCTTGCTATTGGAAAACCTTGTGCAAAATTCGAGGTTGACACTTGTAAATATAACAAATCCACATTGTCTAGCTATTGACGATCACGGCTATTTGGTTACATTAGGGAAAGATTCTTCTGATTTCATTCAACAGTTTCATTCTTCCAATTTAACACGTATTAAACGTTTCAACCTAACAAGTTCATCACTAACAAATTTTGTCTATCATCAAAATTCATATTTTATTGGTACAGGTAACAATCAGGTTTCCATTTATGATAGCCATAATTTCACGTATATTGCAGATATTACTGTTAATACATCCAATTTAGCCGGGCTATTTATGAATGCTATTTATTCATATTCTTATAATTTATCAACAACGTCATAGCAACAAGTAGGGATGTACCAAACCCGAATATTTGTGTTTGATGAAGATTTGGGATTTGGGATTTGTAATCCCAAACACTTTGGGTTTGATTTGGTCACCAAACCCAACGAAAGTATTATTACCGTTAGGAAACTGCTAGACATATGGCCATAATAAATTTCGAACTTTTCGACCGAGATTATTGCGGGAAAAATGAAAGTTGTCCAAAAGCCCTGACACACATATCAGTCAATTCAGTTTTTTATGCTGACTCCAAATATTACATTGGTTTTGCAGAAAAATGAGAGTTTAACAATAAAAACTGCAAAATACACGCGAAATTTCGTATCTTTTTACCAGTTTCAAAAACATTAAGTTTTTCAACAACGGAACAATATTTCCAAAAGCCGATACGTAACTTTTCTCATGCTATTATGGCGAGTAGAATGATATAAAAATATTGGCTTCATCTCCTATCTAGAGAGACTTAAAGTTTTTGAAGACTTGAAGGCCTTGGTTTGATGACCAGACTAAAGCCAAAGTGTTTGAGATTACAAACCTCAAACCTCAAATCTTCACCAAACTCAGACCCAGCGAATACAAATCCGACACAAATCCAAACTATTTGGGTACAAAACCCAAATATGGCTTTGGGTTTGGTGCATCCCTAGCAACAAGCATTGTTCGTCCACAGTACAATTACGAATGCCAATGGGGATGCCCATGTCACAATTGATGATTGCGATCGACGATGGTTTCCACTGAAAGGCATTGGTGTGATAATCTTTGATTCAAATGGGCAGAACATGGGAAACTGGACAACAACAGGAACTCAAACTCTATTCGATATGCTCATTCCAGATAATTATGTTATTATTTTATCCGATATTGAGGGAAATAAACTGATGCACTATGATTCAAATATTACTTGTGCATAAACTGCTTTTTTACACAAATAAAAAGACGATGGGCCAAGTCCGTATTTCGAAAATGTCTTCAGATTTTATTGGTGTATGATAACCTATTTTATTCTCTGTAGCAATAAATTATACGCCAACAAGTTGTATGTCATATATAACTTGTTTTCAATATTGTATTCAAACATTCGTGTTGGAAATATAAACAAGCTCTTTGTGATTGATAAAAAATGAATGGATAACTATTTGTCTCCACTGCATTTTGGATTTTTACAGAAACAAATTTATTATTTACCTCTTTGTTCTTTGAAAAAGATTTTATTACGGTTTGGGTGTAGCTCCACAAATAACGAATCAGTTCAACCTGATTTGATTTTAAAATTTTCAGTTCGGTTTCGAAAAAACAGAAGCGAGTCCCACCTCTGATTAGCACTTAACCAGATCGGATCGATTTAATGTTGATCCGCAACATTTAACAGGTCCATACTTCATCCATCTCAACAATACAATGTTGAAAAAGTTTTGTGATCGAGACTGTATTGCGACAATTATTGATTCTATTTCATTCTGAAGTTCTTCCACTCAAATATGAAAAAGACTCGACTTTGAAATTTTTCTCATTTAAAACAATCGGTTGCATGTGTGTAACAGTAAAAAGTAGTGAATTTTACAGCGATTTACTTAGTTTAGAAAAACTCGACGATTTCCAAATCTTAATGCATGCTGGCTTTGCTCTTCCTTCAACAAAATAATTATTGCTACCTTAATTAAATATTAGTTTTCATATATAGAGTTTAATCGCAGGTGAGAATTTCAACGTCGGTAGGCATAACCTAGTAGTCCTTCGTTGTTGAAACCTTCACATTTCTGATCACCTGACATGAGGTAATCGCCATTTTTTTGACAACGATAGACGGGCACCGTATTGTTGTGCTGTTGGATGAAAATATATCCCAGTGGACCGTGATTTTCTTGATCTTCACAGTGTTGACGTGTACTTGGGAAATTGCGGCCAGTTCGTTGAAGATAACACTCAAAGATTAATCTCGTACCCGGTCGTTCCTCACGATAAATGTTCCACTGTTGTTCGATCTTGTAACCACTTGGTGGCTGGCGTGTAGTTGTTAAATGATGGTGACTGGTTGTATTTACACATCGTTTCAAAATAACAAAAGGCAAATCCTCAAAGCCGCATGCCGCTTTTCCGTGATCAAATCTATTCGCTTCAGCCCAAAGATACCAAGCCTTTTTGTACTGACCCTTTTCAGTCACGAGACCCAAGTGCAGCTCCCCTTCTCCCTTATTATCTTTCAATCTGTGATAGATGAACAAATCAACGTTTGGTGTTGACACGATAGATCTGAATGCATTGCACAATTGATCAGATTGTTTCTGCTCACTAGAGAATGGCTCCAAAGAGTTGATACCATTTTCAGTCAGATACACTTTCCATGCCGATGGTACATTTGGAAAAGTTTTCATTAGCCACCCAACCATAACATTCAGATTTCCGAAGGTAATTTTTGGAAAATCATGTCTGGAAAAGTCGGCGTGTTTAAGATTAGGTGGATATGAATGCATTGCTACTGCCCACTGGCGTGGTGCGACTTGTTTTGCAAGTTTTGTCAGCAATGTCTGTCCAGACATGATCTGTGAAAGGAGTTAAATGTTTTAGTTTCAACCATGAAAAAAGGAGGAGAGCCTTACTGCATTTTGTTGTGATGCGTGTGCGTCAAGCTTACTACCAAAATGGTGATCAAGAGAAATAAGCACGGGTGCTTGAGGCTGATGCTTTTTGATTTGATCATAGGCCGCAATGTAGTTGTCTGAATAGCGTGTTGCCCATTTATCGATGTCGCATTTGATACCTGAGGTGAAGCCACACCCGATATTGAACCAGCTACCTGCATTTACTTCGTTCATAATAACAAATTCTGTTATTCGGCCATGACCATTTGCACCATTGAAACGCCAAGCAAGAAAACCAGCCCATCTACCAAAGTCAGCTGAATTGTCTGGAGCACAAAAGCTTTTAAGTGCAATTGTACAATTGACATTTTGTTTACGCGACCATGGTGGTGAACTAATCAGAATGGCAGTTATTGTTAGGTTTTGATCGGTAACTGCTTTTGCATAATCATCACGAGGTGATGTAAAACATTGACCTTCGTACTGAATGTCACTACCAGTACATGGTGCAAACTTTTGGTTCCATTGATGAGTAGACCAGTCAAAATTCAAGGCAATTCCACCTGCTCCGCTTCCTACTACTTCGGTCAGATTCCAAAAATCAGATTGAATTGCTTTGACGCCATAAGTTGACCGCACAGGATAAACAAGAGGATCGCTTAACTCAGCAGCCGATGGACGAAAGTATTTTCCATCTGATAAAGATGAAACAGCAGTAGTCAAAACAGCACTTAGAAGAAGCAAAAATGACATCCTTATTTTGTAATTTGTGGGTAACTGCTAGTACTTTTTCACGTTAATTGAAATATGCTTAAATTTTCAAAAGCTTAGTCTCAAATATTAATCTTTCTTCTACTAAATCGTTCTCAAATATTTTACCAATACTTTTTTTACTTTCAAATATTGAAATATTTACATTGGACTTTGTAAATCACATTTTTTAGGCTTCAATTCATGAAGATAATTACTAAATTACAGCTATGCACGAGAAATCTGGAGTTTTTTAATCGGCAGTTAATGTGAAAACCTAGGTAATTCGTGATAACAATGCTTGCATAAAAAAAATTACTGCCTATCAAAACTTTTATGAATTGAAGTAAATATAAGCTGCATCAGTATATCATAAGTTAATTATGCTGTAATTATCTTTTTTATAATTTATTGGTTTTTTGCAACATATATTGTTTTTGAGCAATAGATTTTCTACTTACGGTAAAGTTTTTCGTAAATTTTACACTCGAAAAATGTATATGTGTGAAATTTGAATAAACCATGGATTTTAAAATCGAATGAGTATGTATATCTTATGATCAACGTTTGAACAGTCAAATATATAGACTCATGATTTGAACGTAGCGGATAAAATATTCCAGAAGTAGGATGTTGAGAGAAACTTTGAAATCAAAGTGCCAATATAATGACGTTTTACAATAGTAATCGACCATACAGCATCTGATATCAACTCTTTTTTGCAAACAATTGTATTTACGTTTTCATCGATCCGGAAGCCAAGATAAAAATCGGCTTTGAGCTTTGTGAATCGCACCACTGAAAAGAGCACATCAAGAACCTATAAAAAGAGCGTTCAGAAGGCTTTTGCACTGCTTCTAAAACAAATATCTAAACGCCTAGCCAAACAATGGCGGAAAGAATACGTAGGTTGCCCGAAATTAAAAACTTGAGCAAAACATTTTTTCGTTTTCTTTGGTATGGTTGGATAGAGCTCATTGAGTTACCTAGAAAAAAACTGAATTTTACACACCTAGAAGTCATTTTTCTATGAAAATTTTTTAAAATATTCATGTTTTGATAGTAGAAAGTGTGAAAAATGTTTTTATTTCTACTTTTATTCCAAAACTATTTTTTGCTCTGATTCTACATCAAGAACTATAAACAAAATAACTTTGAGGTTTCTCTTCGATTTATTTTTCTTCGAAATGACAAACGTTTTATCGAAACGTCGAAATAAATGAAAAAGTTTCATAAAAACAATAAGAGGCAGCTTTAAGACAGCTACTGATACAAGCACAATCGTTCTTAAGTTTATGCCGGTAAATCAAGTCGTTGTGCTGAACGGTATTTTCATAAAAACTATTAGTTTAAGTACTAAATTATTCGTTCTTGATTCTCCTTTCAACCTTACCTATATTATAACAAAATACGTACTGCCGCAAATGACGTAAATAAAACAAGTCACTTTTGAAAAACGTCATATCCTACAGTATCTTTTATAGAAAAGTCGTATGACACTATTGTTCTCACGATCATACGAATACATTGTTGTAGTTTTAAATCTTGCATTTAAATCAAAGAACATGCAAATAACAAAGGCCATATCAGCGGGTAGACACCATAGTGTAGAAAGAGAGAAGAACAGAGCAAATAGAGAATGAAAAAGGAAGAGAACAAGGAGTGTATATCTTTATGACCTTCACAGCTCTCGCGTGAGGGTGAGGGTGAGTGTAAAAACTCGAACGATTCTGTGCTCTAAAACATTGCGCCTTCTGTATAATAAGAGTAACGGATATTCCTTTTTTCAGTCAATAGGAAGATATTTGAAATTTGTTTTGACAGAAGAGAATAGAACAAGATCCGTTAGACAAACGTTAAGAAAAAGAGGAAAGAACAATGTATAACAGAATAAATTGACAGATCGAATGAGTATACAATATACGATTTGATTATTTCCCGTTTTGAACAAAAGTAAAAGTGGCCCAAACATAGATATGATCACTTCCAAATAGCTTTAATGAATCTTCGAGCGATCGGTCTAGAGCATCCCATGCTTTCCCATGTTGAATTAATGTAACTTGATTAGGATCATAAAAAACATGATCAATGGCTGTGTTGCGCAGTCCGTGTTTAGGGTCGGGATAGTAGGATGGAATTCTCGCACCTTCAATTGATTCGCGGAATGCGTCTTCATAACCAATCCAGTCGAACTTATCGCACTCTTCTGTTTCAGCATTCAAATCCCCAGCCATGACAGTCATAGAATGAATAGCACCTAGCAACTCATTGCATTTATCTTTCACCATTTTTGCCTGTGATGCTCTTTGAATATAATCAAGATGTAGATTAACTAAATGGATATTCTTTGAAGGAATTGTAATAATTTGAATCGCTTCGCCTTTCTCGGGATCAAGAATTCCATTGGTAACCGTAACTTCCGATGTATATTTCCAATCCTTACGAATCAATGTGAGAAGTCCATTTGCATTTGGAGCAGAAGTTGGATTGTTCGATGCAAACTCGTACAAGTAGTCGTCACCCATTTTCTCCTTAAGTAAAGGAATCATATCCTCTTGTGCTTCTTGAATCATGGTGACACTATGCCCAAGGAAAGAAATTCGAGATGCAATGGTGCAGATTCTAGTTTGGTGATCGGCAGCTGCTACGTATAGAGTTGGATACCATTCTTTGTTGACCCAGCAAGGAGCTAATATATTCCAGCTCAGCAGAGACAAATCATGCGTACGTTCGGCAGTCATCGCTAAAATGAAAATCTGATTTCAAAAACGATGGAAAGGTTCTATAACGTAGCCGCATACATCTTGACGTAGCCACAAAAAAAATTTCTAATACTACTGCCAGACGTACTTTCTCTGCTGTTCGGAATGGTCTACTTGAAACGATCTTTATTCGGTAAAATGCAATTCCGACAAAAAGAATTTGGACATGTTTCGAAATTCTATTAGAGGTTTTCTACAATTGTTGATATTCTTATGGAATTACGACAGAATTTTTTTTTTGCCGGGCATTTTATTGTCCATTTCCCATCAGAATTAGGACAATATGTATTTAAAAAAAAATACATATTGAGGTATATATACAAGTATCGTTCATCTTCGATTCACTGACCCTTGCCTGAAAATGGGTTTTTAGCGATGATTTGGTGTTAGTATGCGCTTAGCTTTTTAAAGGGATGGAGAAACAGGAAATTTTTGTTTATTTATGTGTATGATTGCATTAGATCCAATGGCATATGACGTGTTGAAGGACATAGGTAAGGTTGAAAGGAGAATCAAGAACGAATAATTTAGTACTTAAACTAATAGTTTTTATGAAAATACCGTTCAGCACAACGACTTGATTTACCGGCATAAACTTAAGAACGATTGTGCTTGTA